TGTATTTTGATGAAAAGAGTTCAAAAAATTTCGGCAATAATTTCGGCAAATATGAAAATTAATTTCGGCACTATATACTGTAAGACTAATTTCGGCTGCCTAAATGCCGTAATTACCTTTTTATTAAGATGGGCAATTTAGGCACCCATGTATAATTGTATATTGCATATTCGTATATTAATATAATATTGTAAATACGTGTACAGTATACTTTCGTTATAACATAGTGATCAGGCTGAGAAATTCCTCCGTTATAAAGAATATCCACTATAATAAATTTTTAAATTAATCTAAAGAATTACTCCGTTTTTACAATATTTTAACGAATCAAAAATTGTTATAAGATCCTAAGTAAAGTTTGGAACCAGATTTAATAACAATGATGCGAGTTTATCACACAAATATTGTGATTATTTTAGAATTAATCATAAACTTATCAAACAATATTCGGATTTATTATTGTGAACAATTATGATACATAAATTTGTATTAATAAATCCAGTTCTAAACTCTAATCCTGAGATGTTAAGGCGCCACTTCAGGCATTTCGAATTGGTTAAACCATAAGTAGTAGTAGAAGAAAATTTTCCAACAAAATCATTAGTTGGAGTAGATCTACCAGGAATTTTAGCAGCAAGAGAATTTTTATCGGAAAAACTGGAAGAAGAATGTTTATGACCAGTAACAAAAGGAGATTGAGAAACTTTTTCAGGACTAACAGAACCACCACCATCTTGAGATCTTTGAGAATTTTGAGCAGCAGCAGCTTTTAAAGAGGAAATTTCACCACGAAGTTTTAAGACTAAATTTTGTAAATGAGTAACATCATTCCAACCAGCTTCTTCTTGATTTACGGAAGCAAGATTTTTGATATTACGAGCACGATTAGCATATTTAAGAGTGCTAACAGTTTCATTAATATTGTATTCAATTGGAGATACACAAGCAATCATTAAAGTTTGAGCATTTCCACCAAGAGAATCTTGTAATAAACGAGTAAGTTTAGAATCTCTATAAGGTATATGAGTAGTATGTTTTGCTTTACTAGGATCACCAAGAGCTGAAATGACATTTCCTAAAGCAAGTAGACCAGAGTTTATGGAAATTCCTTCTCTTGCACGGTCACCGCTTGCAGCAGTACGTTTTAACTATAATTAAAATAAAATAAATTTAAATAAATTTAAATAAATTTAAATTGAAAGAAGTTAAAAATAATAACAAATAATAATAATAATAATTATAATTATAATAATAAATAATAGATATATACACGTTCACTTCCAGCCAAATCGACGAAATGAAATTTACTAGATATAGTAACCCATTCACCATCATCAAATTTATCTAGACTCGAATTTGTTCTTGAAGAAGGTTGACTACCAAATCTAGAGGAAGCAGGAGTTCCAGGTCTTGAACTAGGAGGAGACGTAGCAGGTTGACCGGCCGAAATACAATTATGAGGAATGAATTTTTGTTGCACCATCGTAACAGAGAATATTGCATGAGATCGAGAAGATTTAGAGTTCATATCAGTAACACCGACCTGTCGGTTCATTGAACCATGGGATAAATGTCTGTAATAAGAAAAATCAGTAAAAATCAGTTGTAAAAATCAGTTGTAAAAATTCGTTTGTGAGAAAAAAATTTTTTATGAACGTAATTATCATAATTATCTATATTTATCATGAAAAAAAAAAAATATAAATACCCACTCCATAACTTCATCTACATTATTAACTTTTAATTCCTGTAATCCGGTCCAATATATATTACCCCTAGAATCCTCACGTATCATAACAGGAGGTCTTTCTTCCTCATTACCCTCACCAAGAAGATCAATTAAATCTTCATTATGAATCTCAATGAACGAGACTTTTATTGAGAATTTATGAGATTTATATTGACCAGAATTCACCAAAGAAAAAAGCGTAGCCATTGTACGTGGAATTATTCCTTTTGATTCGGGAGGTATAGTACTATCATCAGCAGTTCCCATTGTATGAGTCTTCCCAGAAGAAGTCTGTCCATATGCCAAAATAGTAACATTGTAACCTATAATAATTAAATTTATAAAATAAATTTGTAAAATTGAATAAGTAAATATTTTTATCAAGTCAATTTTTTTTTTAATTATAAAACTTTCATATATAAAGCAGACCTCATTCTTATTTAATCGAACCAAATTCTTGCAGATAGATCATTTTACTCACCCTCCAAAAATTTAGAAATCATATTTCCAACAGCTCTTTCATAAACATCTTGTTGGGTAGCTTCAGGGGCAAAAACATAATCAAATTGAAAGATTGGTCTCTTTTCCGTATCAACAACTACTTGATTTTGATTATAAGGAGAAACAGATATAACTTGACGTTGAAACCTTGCCGGCAAATTGATTAAATCATCTTGTGTAAGGGGCTTTATCCTTAGTGCTATTAATTGATAAATTTATTAAGATTAATTTTCCTCTTAATTGTGTTAATTATCTCAATTTTTTTTCAAAGTTAAATTGATTAAATTGATAAATTTTGATCAAAAAATTATATTAAATTCCAATTTAATAAATTACCAACTTGCACCGAGGTCGACGTTCCATTAGAAGACATGATTTATAAGACAAATACTTTTTAAAGTAATTATAGGATCGATCGATAGATCAATATAATTTTTTCTATCAAATTATTTCAGAAGCCAGCCCGCTGGTTAATGATACCCGAATTTTATGATATGATATAGATAATTGGTTGTTTGAGTAAATAAAATTTAATCCAGTCAAGACCAAGGAATAAATTTCACAAATAAGAAAATCACAAGGAGTAATTTATGAGTAAAACGTTCGACTAGGGACATAAAAAGAAAGGAATAGCATTTGTTTATAAACACCTTGTACGAAATAGAACAAAAAAGGATAATGTGTAACGATCAAGATTGTTTAAAGTTCCCTGTTGTCTATTCAAGATGTACAAACCCAGCACAATTAGCAGCGATCCTGGGAGCGTGGCGTCCGACATATTTATCGAACTTCTTTGTTTCGCATACACGAGAATACGTAATTAAGAACACACATGCATTACATACTATACCAGCAAGTTTAACATTCTTTTTGAGTGCAACCTAAATTATGTATGATAGGTTGAAAGGTACGTGTACGTATGTATGTACGCAACGCACGCACGATGCGTACATAACATTCTTTTTTAGTGAAGTTTTAGTTGTACGTATTGTCTTATTATTACGAACGTGATTGCAAATTGAAGATAAATTACATAATAATAATAATATACTTTAGATGGTTAGTACGTGCGTAAGTTTATAACTTCTTTAAATACCTGATGAAATCAATCAAGTACCCTTCGATTCACATTGTTTTTTTAGTACGTACGTACTTTTTTTTTTTTTTACGTACGTACTGTACGTACGTATGTACGTTCGCTGTTGCATTTAATGGCTTATACATAATTGATTATTAATTGATTAAGAAACAACTCATTTAAAAGAATTGTTAAGAATAGCGATAGTACTATTTTATTCTTTTATATTGGAATAAAATCTAATAATAACAATCAACAATATATAATTCCATAATTTATTATTATGATCGTGATTGATTTTTGGTTCATTCATGCATTTGCTTTGCCTCGTGAACTTCAGTTTTCTCAGTTTGATTAATAAAGTTTTTTCGTGTAGGTTTCTGACAAATGTTAGTTACAACTCAGTGTCGACTCAGTGCTGGCAGTAAATAAAACAATAGAATATTTTAGAATTTTTTTTTTCTACGTATAGTATTAAATAATCTTTATTCAAAAAATTTTTTAATATAAATATATAGATATTTACAATAAAATATAAAGTTTCTAATAATAATTTTTAATAATATGTAGAATGATAGAATTATCATCCCTTAATTATGATTATTACGGTAATGAAAATTTTTTCGCGAAAATTTGGCTTTATTAAACCCTAACCCCAAACTGGATGGCTTTTTTTTTTTTTTTTTTTATAATAATCGGTTTTATTAAATCACGTCATGGTGTTCAATACCACAGTTGCTACAACATATCTCAAAAGCTAGCTAAATAACTAATGTCGGATGTACTAAGTAAAACTAACTGTTCAGACTCACAAAAACCTTTACACTAACTAAAATTTAAACCTATATCTTGACTATATTTAGGTTCCCTAACCCTAAATTTTACTAGCAAAGACTATTAAAAAATATATGTGGTGTGAAACACTACTGATGTGATTTATTAATAATAATATAGCAACATAGCCGGCATTGCAATCGAGTTTGATCCTTTATAAGCGCAAATGAATGCTGTCAAGTGAAAGCCTGGAAGTCCAAAGATAGATTACAACAAAATAAATATTATTGTTATTTCTACATTTAGATTTCCTGGTTTAGCTTGGTGACACTCAAATCCTTAATGTTTCATCTTTAGTGTTCATAGTAAAGTTACGTATAATTACAATAGCGATAGAATTACAATAGCGATAGTTTCGACAATATGATTTGCGGTTTACACCTAAAATTTAATGTACTTAGCAAAAGGCGAAATGGGTCCCGAAGAAGATACGGGTTGGAATATGGATAACACAAACATAACGCCAAAATTAATTATACTCTAATAGTCGATTGAGGCATGGATATATTTGGTCCGATCAATTAGCGTTAAAGCTTTAGATTACGTCACGGGTCTCTTAATATGGAATTACGGATTTAGTCACTAACCATATGAATTTTACTTTTCGAGGGGTGAGTTTAGTGTTGTAACTTAATTAAATTAATTTGGATAGACCGTTCAAAGTTAATTAGTTGTTTAACGTCAAAATTTTTAGCACAGCACCGGGGGAAGGGGTTAATTTAAACAAACATAATAAATAAACACCAAATAAATGTTTATGTTGCTATTAACATAAGCAGACCATTCACGACCATTAGCATAACATGAAATACAAAGTGGGTAAATATCTTAACCGGTGATTTTAATCCGTCAGATGGTTAAATAATACCATCCTTTGCTCCACAACAATAGCATAAATCAACATCCTTTAACCGACATAAGTAATAATTTCGTTCAATAGGTGAATCATAATATTTTGACATATATCACAGCAAATTAGAGGTCGAACTTTTGTATTTATAAATATTCCAGATTGAGTTTCTCTTCATTTATAATTTTTTGTTGCGAATAATCGATATTCTTCAGTTGTTGTTTTTCATATATATCGTCCAATTCTTTGTAATGCTTTTTATCTAAAAACATTTTAAATAAGCCGTTCAAAGTTTACTATAGTGCCAGAAGTCTATAATCGTCAATATAGAGTTTGGAACTGATTTTATTTGTCATATGAAATTGACTAAAACTGGTTTTAACATATTAGTCATAGGACATGTCCTAATGGTTGCTGTTGCTTATAGGTCAAATAAGTTGACATACTGAATTTTATATATAAATTTTTACAAAAAAATTACTAAAATTTAATTTATTCAAAATATATATATATATCTTTCTTAAAATTTTAAATATATTTTTTTATTATTCTATAATCTTTTACTAGAAGTCTTATTTCTTAACAGCCAGTAGTTTGAATAGAATCTTCTGTTAAAGTTGAATAATTTTTTACTATATTTTCTATATAAAGTATTGTTATAATAATATTTTGTGTAATTAATAATTTATAAATTTCTATATTTATACCTTTAACTATAAATAGTCTAAAAATCCGGCATTGTTAAATCACACTACTGATATTCAACACCACTATAATTTTTGCTATGAGCTGTAGTGTAATGTGAAGATCAGGTATAACACAAAAATTATTTAAAAAATGAGCATAACTCAAAAATTCATCTATGAAACTACCTTTGGGGCTCTAACAAAAAAAATTTCTTGCAAAATTTTGGCATAAACTATGTTTATACCCCATCCCAGACCTCAACTCTAACTTAATATTAAACAAAATTTAATTTTCATTTTGATAAAAATTATTTTAATCTACATATTACACAGATTTTCATATGACTGGTATTGAACACCACAGATGTGATTTATAATTTTTGCTAAAAATCACCAAGTTGATTTTAATAATCTAAATTAGAAAATTTTTTTTTATAATTTTATTTTATAATTTTATTTAAAAATAAAAAATTTTTACTTAGTAAATTTTTTTTAAATTTTAAAAATTATTTTAACTAATTATATAGTTGCATTAAATAAGTTAAAATTTTAATTTAGAAAATATAGTAAAAAATTTTTTTTTGTTTTTTTAATCTTTGGCAATCTTGCTGGTAATTCTTTATTAAGATTATTATATAAGTAGATTATATAATATTGAGCTTAATATTTAAACCTGATATCTCTTAGCTATTTTATAGATGTTCAAAAGTGGTCTGCTATACTAGATAGAATTTTGTAATCTTATGATCTAGAAGGTCATTACCAAGCTCTCAAAGAGGTTTTGATTTGATTTTAATAAATCAAGTTTATCTGTATACTCTTCTACTATATTATTAAATAATTCTATTCTATCTAATTCTATTTTTATTTGGCTATCTAAAATATTTTTCTTTTGTAAAAATACTTTGCTATTTATTTTTAAATTATATATTTTCTTTTCTTTTTTTGGTTTATTTTATACTTTTTCACAAATAACTTAACTTCTAATCTTTCTATACTTTTTTTTTTATTTTCTTCATTGGTTGTTATCAGTTCTTTACTCTGTATTAAAGGGTTCTTTTTTACTTTTTTCTTTTTATTCTTTTAATTTATCTTAATCTTTCTACTTGAGCTCAATTTTTTTTGAATTTTTTAAAATTTCACTTAGTAGTTTCTTTTATGATATCTTTAATATATTTTTTATTTAGTTAAATTTCTTCTCTTTATTATCTATAATTCTTTTCTCTAGTTTGTTTTATAATTAAAAGTAACTTATTGTTGGTTTTTTAAAAAGATATACAAGATTTTCTTTTATCTTTTTTTTTGAAATTTTTCTTGTTTCACCATTTTTTTCTAAAGACTGTAACTACTTCTAATATTGATATAATTTTTTTAAATACTTTTCTAAGTAATCATTAGGTAAAGCTTTTTTTTTATTTATAAAATTCTTCACTTCATCCTTATATTTAGTATGACAAAGTATATATATATAAGTACTTTTTGTAGATTTGTATATACAATTAAATCTTTATTTTATTTTAGATTATCTTTTCTTTTTTTTTGTTATCTTTAAGGATTATCACTTTGATATTTTTCTTCTCTTTCTAGTTTTGTTTTACAATATGTATATATATTTTTTAATTTGTTAAAAAGAATCTTCTATTCTTTTTTTCCTTTATTGTAATCTCTGCTCTAAATTTTTCTGTTTATGAGTTTAGATCTATATTTTATATTTCTTTAATTTTTCTATATAATATTCTATTTGTTTTCAAATACTTTAGTATTCATTAAAATTTTTAAATTCTCTTTATTTTCTTTTTATTATATTGTATTAGAAAGAGTAAATTTTTTAGTTCAAGTTGTTGAATTAAACTCTTCTCTATATTTTATTTTGAAATACTTGCTATTTTTTTCTTTTTTCTTAAGATTAACTATTCTGTTTTTAT